CAGACAGGCAAAGACAGCAGGCTCAGATTGAGCAAGACCACATTCAAACAAACATATCTGACTTTCTGTGGGTCCTAGCTAATGAGTGTCAATTAGAAAGTTGTCCGGCTCGAGGAGTACAATATACATACCGATTTTTGTAACTGTAGATAAAACTAACAACCCCACTTTTGTCAAAAGGTGGCGCTACTGAGCCCTCACCACGCCCGTTTCTGAAACTTTGCACGTGTCTACTGGCTAATAAATGTGATGTGTCTGTCGAGTTTCATGCAATTTCAAGCATGCTAAGGGTCTCAAAAGCATCCTAAAAGAATGGTAACGTTTGATGCGTCGCCACGGCAACAGTTTCAAAGATATCAAGAATCCATTCACAGGTCTACATCTGCCGTATGTTTACATTATACAGATGACGTTTGAAGCAAATCGGGTAAAAATAAAAGGGTGATATCAAAGCATTTTGAAAGTGACACACTTCCTGCTGCCAGTTGGTGGCGCTATAACTTTGACTCACAATAGTCACATCCATGTGATCGTCCTCTTACAGCGAACACACTGCTGAAGTTTCATCAAGATCAGTTAATGTATGCTGAAGTTATAACACACTTCCTGGTTCACGTTTCTCGCCATGATTTCGTTTCCTCGCCACGGCCAAACCGTTCGAGATATCAAAAATCCCCTCGCAAACTTTCATCCTCAATGTCTTGACTTCATGCTGACCGAGTTTTGTCGAATTTGGATCAAAGCTCTAGGAGGAGTATTTAACATTCCATTGCGAGCGTTTTACAAACAAACCTCAATAGCCGACTTCCTGTTGGGCTGGGGTAAAAAGTAAAGCGCGAGGTATAGATGAAACTATGAGATCAACATGTGCACCGAGTTTCATATTATTACATACAAACGTGTTTGAGTTATGGACCAAGTGTTCGGACCCCGTTCCAGGGGGCGCTGACGAGCCGCCCTGCCACGCCCGGGTACCAAGCTTCAGCCCGGCTCTGATGGCCGCGGGTTCTGACCCATGTGCAAAGTTTCAAGAGTTTTCGAGCACGTTAAGGGCCCCAAAAATGCCCAAAAGGTTACAAAATAATAATAATAAAATATAGCTGCGAGCAGCGATGGCGGGCCCAAGCCGGTGGCACCGCAACCCCGGCTCCTTTAGTTACCTAAAGGCACCGGGGGTGGCGGTGCCGAAGGCTTTGGCCCTTTCATGATTAAATGTTAAAAACGGCTTGCCATAGTCTGTCATTTTGACTAGTCACAAATTATGTTACAGATATCTTAAATGATAATACAAACTATCCAAAATGTAATTACGACTAGACAGAAAGACATTGTGATATCTACAATGTTAATTTCCGGATAGGCAAACTTAGCTTTTAAATGTTAAAAGGGCTTGCCATACAGGGACGTAGGCTCAGAGAGAGTCTCACCATATTCAAACCAAAATATCTGACTTCCTCTTGGTCCGAGCTAATGACTATGAATTAGAAAGTTGTCTGGCTTTGAGGAGTACAATGTATATAACGATTTTTGTAACTGTAGATAAAAATAACAACCCCACTTTTGTCAAAAAGGTGGCG